ATTGGGTATATTGGAAAGATTTTGTTGAGAAAAAAAAATGGCCGGGCGCGGTGGCTCAAGCCTGTAATCCCAGCACTTTGGGAGGCCGAGGCGGGTGGATCACAAGGTCAAGAGATCGAGACCATCCTGGTCAACATGGTGAAACCCCGTCTCTACTAAAAACTACAAAAAATTAGCTGGGCATGGTGGTGCGTGCCTGTAATCCCAGCTACTCAGGAGGCTGTGGCAGGAGAATTGCCTGAACCCAGGAGGCGGAGGTTGCGGTGAGCCGAGATCGCGCCATTGCACTCCAGGGAACAAGAGCGAAACTCGGTCTCAAAAAAAAAAAAAAAAAAAAAAAGAAAGAAAAAAAAATGACTTCAAGGCTCTAAAAATGCTTTAAAACGTCTAATTGAATGTACCTCCTTGTCATTTTACAGCTGGGAAAACAGCCAAAATGGAGGATAGGTGAATGGGCATGTTTTACCTAAGGTAATCACACAGTAATTTCTTGGTAGACTAGAGAGGCACTTTACCTTTAAGAAGCAATAGAGAAATGGATGAACAAAACAACTAGGTCACCAGCTTCCTGGGCCTTCCTTTTCCAAGATGAACAAATTCTGGGGAAGAATTTTTGTTCTAATCTGCCTTAAAGGCTCTCTGGCATGTCAAAGGTCCTCTGGGGCTGTGCCTGGTCTTGGGAGCCCAAGGTGAACATTATAATGTTCACCATTATAATGTTATTGAACAATGTTCAAGGCATGTTATCTTATTTAGCCCAAAAAGGTTAAAATGATTTGATTTGCCTACGTTCCCAAAGCCATGTGGGGAAGTTGACAGATGATGTGAGCTCAGGAAGAGAAGAAAGCAGGTTGGCAAAGCAGTTTGTAATCCAGGATTGTGCTTTTGTTCTGATGTGGAACCTTTGAGGCTTCCTCAGTTATTTCCCTGCTGCCCCCAGGATGGAGCCCAAGCTCCTCGGGATGGTAGTCAAGACCTTTCACAACTGGGCTCCCTTTATCTTCTAGCCTCACCTTACCTCCACTATCCACTGAGCTCCAGCCACACTGGCCTATGGGGTGTTTCCTGAACTCACGCTGAAAATGCAGTCTCCCATGCCTTCTCTTGCTTTCTCCTGGTGAACTCCTTTTCATCCCTCAAGGCCTGGCTCAAATATCACTGTGCTGGCTGGGTGCAGTGGCTCATACGTGTCATCCCAGCATACTGGGAGGCCAAGGTGGGAGGATCACTTAAGGCCAGGAGTTTGATACAAGCCTGGGCAACTTAGCAAGACTCCATCTCTTTTTTTTTTTTTTTTGAGACAGTCTTGCTCTGTTGCCCAGGCTGGAGTACAGTGGCGCAATCTCAGCTCACTGCAACCTCCAACTCCCAATTCAAGTGATTCTACTGCCTCAGCCTCCAGAGTAGCTGGGACTACAGGCACGTGCCACCATGCCAACTATGCTTTTGTATTTTTAGTAGAGACAGGGTTTCACAGTGTTAGCCAGGATGGTCTCGATCTCCTGACCTCACGATCCACCCGCCTCAGCCTCCCAAAGTGCTGGGATTACAGGCATGAGCCACTGTGCCTGGCTGACTCCCATCTCTTAAAAAAATATAATAACCTCTGAGAAGCCTTTCCTTACCCTTGTTGGGGCTCATTAGTTTTACCTCCTGGCTCTGTTGGAGGGCCCATTGCATTGTTATAGCCCACTCTTCTATTTTTTTTTTTTTTTTTTTTTTTTTTTTTGGAAACAGGTTTTGGCTCTGTCATCCAGGCTGGAGTGCAGTGGTGTGATCTTGGTTCACTGCAGCCTCTGCCTCCCAGGTTCTGCAGAACCCTGTTCAGGGTGATACTGGCCATCTCTGGAGATTTCTGTGTTCCTGCCACTTAAATCCCTGGCATATATGTGGGTAGGTGAACACAGCCACAGATACCCTTTCACTTGGGGTGAATAATTCTCTGGTGTCCTCACGGGAAAAGCCTCTGGTGAATGAAAAACAGGCATCTCTACAGCTGCTTTTTTGTCTTCCTGCAGACATAGACAGCCCTGCCTTCCTGGGGCTTTTTGTTTTTCAGGCTTTAAACTCTGAAGATTATGGAGTGGCCAGGACTGCTGTGTGAACACTGACTGTATTAATTATACAGTGCTAGAATATTCCATACAACATTGTCCTTGATTAAGCAAAGAGGCTACAGGCTAGGTGCGGCGGCTCACACCTGTAATCCCAGCACTTTGGGAGGCCAAGGCAGGCGGATCACTTGAAGCCCATCTCTATTAAAAATACAAAAATTAGCCAGGTGCAGTGGCACACGCCTGTAGTCCCAGCTACTCAGGAGGCTGAGGCATGAGAATTGCTTGATCCTGGGAGGTGGACATTGCAGTGAGTGGAGATTGCACCACTGCACTCCAGCCTGGTTGACAGAGTGAGACTCTGTCTCAGAAAAAGCAAAGAAAGGAGGCTACAATCTGATGCACTTCAAATGAATTCACTTGGCTTAGCAGGTATTATATTATTTAGAAGTAACTAGCTTTAGGCCCGGCGTAGTGACTCACACCTGTAATCCCAGCACTTTGGGAGGCCACGGAGGGCAGATCACCTGAAGTCAGGAGTTTGAAAACAGCCTGGCCAACTTGGTGAAACACTGTCTCTACTAAAAATACAAAAATTCGCTGAGTGTGGTGGTGGGCACCTGTAATCCCAGCTACTCAGGAGGCTAAGGCAGGAGAATTGCTTAAACCTGGGAGCCGGAGGTTACAGTGAGCTGAGACTATGCCACTGCACTCCAGCCTGGGCGGCAAAGAGAGACTCCATCACAAAAAAAAAAAAAAAAAAAAAGGAATAACTAGATTTTTAGAACAATGGAATTGATGACTCAGCTATTCCAGGCTGGGGTGCTGTGCTGCAGAGCATGATATAGGCTTCATTTATTTTTTATTTTTTATTTTTTTGAGATAGAGTCTCACTCTATCACCCAGGCTGGAGTGCAGTGGTGCGATCTCAGCTCAGTCCAAACCCTACCTCCTGGGTTCAAGTGACTCTCCTGCTTCAGCCTCCTGAATAGTTGGGATTACAGACATGAACCACCAGGCCTGGCTAATTTTTGTATTTTTGAAATGGGGTTTCACCATGTTGGCCAGGCTGGTCTCAAATTCCCAGCTGTAAGTGATCTGCCTGCTTTGGCCTCCCAAAGTGCTGGGATTACAGGTGTGAGTCACCATGCCAGGCCCAATATAGGCTTTAAATCGATGTATATAATGCTTTGTCCTTTGTGGCCAGAATGCATAGGAAAAGGTAGAAGTGGTACCTTATATGATTGTACCTAAGGACTAAGAGTTTTCTTCCTGTCTCTGAGATTCTGGGTATTGCAGGTCAGAAGGTGATAGCATCGGCCAGGCACGGTGGCACACACCTGTAATCCCAGCACTTTGGGAAGCTGAGACGGGTGGATCACGAGGTCAGGAGTTCAAGATCAGCCTGGCCAACATGGTGAAACCCCCATCTCTACTAAAAATACAAAAATTAGCTGGGTGGGTGACACGCACCTGTAGTCCCAGCTACTCTGGAGGCTGAGGCAAAATAATCACTTGAACCTGGGAAGCAGAGGTTGCAGTGAGCCGAGATCGCACCACTGCACTCCAGCCTGGGTAACAGAGTAAGACTCCGTCTCAAAAAAAAAATTAAAAAAAAAGAACCAGGTCCCTTCCATAACATACACAGACAGATCACTCTCTCAGAAAACAAAACAAAACAAAACAAAACAAAACAAAAAGACCTTTAGATACTAAGAGATCAGAGAAAATGGAGAGAAGAGATAGCACAGAAATAATAGAAGAACATTTATCAGAGGTAAAAGACATAAGTTTCTAGAACAAAAATCAGCTGGGCGTGATGGTGCGTGCCTATAGCCCGAGCTACTAAGGAGACTGAGGCAGGAGTATCGCTTGAACCTGGGAGGCGGAGGTTGCAGTGAGCCGAGATCGCGCCACTGCACTCCAGCCTGGGCGACAGAGGGAGCCTCCATCTCAAAAAGATAGTGAGGATTTGGGTCACCCCAGGCTGAAGGCCAGGGGAACCTGCAGTGAATAAAGGAAGGGAAAAGACTTAGGCCACAGGATCTGATATAGAAATGGGGCTGAGGTCTCCACTTGTATTTTCTTAGCTAGAGGAGTGTGCAAAGTCTGAATTACTTCTGCCTTCTCCTTCTTATTTCTTTTTCCCTCTTAAAATAGTTGTCATAATCATAAAAATTTCTTTTCCATTTCCCCTGTTTTTGCATATAGGATTTCTTGGTGTGATTTAATTTGCCAGTTAGTCTCTAGGTTGCAGAATGGTGACTTGGAATCAAGTTGAAACTGGAAGAGGATACCTCATATATTAGGGTCAGCTATTACTCTACTCTGTTCTCTTTAATTGCAAACAGAGTCTTTAGCTTCAAATTTCCCCAGGATGCAAAAGAGTGAGGGGGGTCAAGCTTCAGTAGTGTGGACCTCTGAGAAGAATATACTGGAGTTTGGAACCCAGGACCCTTTCTTATCACGTTGTTCCTCCTTACCTGGGCAAAAGCACAGGTGCCCACTGTCCAGGTGTCATGGATGGGCTTTGTGTCCTGTGGACAGCGCCCGTCCCGGGTACAGGACATCAGCTCTGGGTCCTGTCCTAGGCCGGATCTTTCTTTCTCTCTTTTTTTTTTTTTTTTTTTTTTGAGCCTGTCTCCCAGGCTGGAGTGCAGTGGTGCAATCTTGGCTCATTGCAACCCTCACCTCCCAGGTTCAAGCGATTCTCCTGCCTCAGCCTCCTGAGTAGTTGGGATTACAGGCGCCCACCACCATGTCCAGTTAGTTTCTGTGTTTTTAGTAGAGACGAGGCTTCACCATGTTGGCCAGGCTGGTCTCGAAATCCTGAGCTCAAGTGATCCGCCGGCCTCGGCCTTCCAAAGTGCTGGGATTTCAGGCGTAAGCCACCGTGCTCGGCCTCTTCTGTCTTCTCTTAAAACATAGTTTTCACTAAGTGACTTTAGTCAATAAACACAAAAAAGAATATATAATTCCAAATTGTGATAAATGCTATGAAGGAAAGGAACGTGCCCTGACATGAAAGGGGAAACGAATGTGGTCTAGGGAGTCAGATTTTTCTGAGAAGAGATCTGAAAAAGGAGTAAGTGGAGAGGGGGAAGAGCGGAAAGGGGCGTGCTGGAGGGTAGCGCGGAGAGGGACCGCAGAGGACGAGGCGGGAGAGGCAGACAGAGGGCAGGAAGCGCAGAGCCCCGCGGCTGCCGCATTAGGGGATGTGCCGGCAGTGGGGAAGCCGTTGAGGGGTCTAAGGCCAGAAGGTGGTGACTAATCAGATTTCACCTGAAAATCTCACGCTGTCTGCAGTGAGGTGAACTGATCGGGAGGGCCCAGCGAATGCCAGTAGGAGCGAGCACCGGACCTGGGAGGCCTGGGTCAAGGCGGCCCCGCGCAGCGGCGAGGCAGTTCCGGCGCAGGGGCCAGGCGCGCGGCTCCGGGGAAAACCGAACCGGCCCACGTGGGCCCGGCCGCCCCGCCCCGCCGCGCAGACGCCGCCCGATTCCGCAGTCCCCGCCTGGGGCTGGGCGCGCTGCCCGGGAGCCCCGCACCCACGCCTGGACCGCGAAGACGCCCAGGCCGAGGAACCCCTAGCCCAGGGACTGGACATCGCCGGGGCCGGGTGGAGCCAGAGCCAGACGCGCCGGAGCCGGCGCCTCTAGGCCGTGAGTCCGAGTCTGGGGCCGGAGGGGGAGGGCTTGGGGCCCAGCCGCGGGAAGCGGGGAGTCACAGCTGCCTCTTCGCGGAGACTAGGGAAGGTTGGGCTCTGTCTCCTGGGGTGTCGGGGTTCCCATTTTACTATCTGTAAGAACCTTGTGATCCCTAGCGCCACCTCCACCCCATCCCGGCTTTCATCCAAGTGTGGGAAAAAAGAAAGCATTAGGGTGAGGGGAGATCTCTAGGCATCTTCCCACAAGCCTTGCCTAAAGGGTGATAACAAAGGAACTGTTCCCACACCCTTCTCCCCAGGACTTCTGCCCATTGCTGGAGGAGGGGAGGGTCCCTGCTACCTATGGAGCGCCTCCCAGTACCAGCTCCATTTATAGTATCCTTTCCCTTCATGCTCGTCAATTGTTCTAATCCCAGTGCTGTTTGGTCAGTAGAATCCCTTTGCCAATTCAAACCCTAATTTTGGTTAGAAGCTGGTTACCCGGGAGAGAAGAGTGGTGTGACATGCCTTCCCTCCAGGGCATCGGGATGGCACAAGCTAGGGACAGGGACACAAGATAGTGGCCTTGTTCCAGGGGCATTGGGAGGGAAGAGGGCAGGCTCAGAAGAAAAACTTGTCACTGGGGGAGGCCCGGCTCCCTGGAGCAGAGAGGGAACCGAACCCTGCTCTTCCACAACCCAGCTCTTCCAGCCCTGGGGAGTCGGCAGTGTAGCTTACTGAGTATGGAAATTCACTGCAGTCTCTTCTTCCATTCCTTCACTCAGCAAGTGCCTATATGCAGATAGCCTGGTTCCGAGCTCTATGCTGGCTCTGGGGAATGTAATGCAGGATATATAGAGGAGGTCCAAACCAGATTACAAACTGCTATTACAAGATCATTACAACAAAGCAAAAATGCCAGTTGAATAAACATTCGCTGATCGTCCATCATGTATGCCAGGGACAGACACAAAGCTGGATGAGACAGTGTGTACCCAGGGCAATGGGGATCCAGAGGAAGGCATAAGTAACCATGCTTGTTTATGTAATATTGGGGCAGTATCAAGACAGCTTCATAGACATGGGGACATGGAGACATGGGGATATTACAGCTGAGTTTTGAAGTACAAAAAAGGAATTTGCCGGGTGAAGGGAGGAGCTTTGAGGGGAGAGGATATTGAAGGCCAGAGGAATAGTGTAAGAAGAACAGTGCTGCGTTTTGAAATCTCTGGGCGGTTTGCTATGATGGGAGGGGCAGAGTGGTAAGAGGCAGGTGTGGAGGGGCGAGCAGGGGCCAGATCAAACAGGGCCTTGTAGGCCACTTAGAGGTTTAGCAGGAGTTCAGAGAGGGCACTTGGAGTGGTGACAAGTCAAATTTACATTTTTAACTGGAGGCAGAGAGATCAGTGAAAACGCTGTGGCAATAATCCAAGTCAGAAATGGCCTGGAAGAGGAAGAATGGTCAGAATGTGGTTGTCAATGAGATGGGAGAAGGAAGGAGAGTGAGGAGCGCAGGAAGCTCCCAGCCTTCTGGATGGAGGGCAGAGCCATTTTTCTGAGGATACTGGAGAAGGAGAGTTTGGTTATGTGGAATTTTTGGGGAGGAGGCAGGGGACGGAGTCTTGCCCTCACACAGGCTGGAGTGCAGTGGTGCAATCTCAGCTCACTGCAATCTGTGCCTCCTGGGTTCAAGTGATTCTCCTGCCTCAGCCTCCCAAGTGGCTGGGATTACAGGCACCTGCCACCACGCCTGGCTAATTTTTGTATTTTTGGTAGAAATGGTGTTTTGCCATGGTGGCCAGGCTGGTCTTCAACTCTTGACCTCAGGTGAGCCACTGCACTCAGACTGGTTAAAAAGAATTTGAGGAGCTTATGGTTGGTTGCCGAGTTGGATAACAGTTAGATCTGGGCTGAAGACAGATCTGAGAGTCATCAGCATATGATGGTCCTTGAAGCCACAGCAGAGAATGAGGTCATCTGGAGAGAAACGCACAAAACTAGAAGACAGCCTGGCTCTGAGGCTGAGGAAAAACCCTCTGCAGGAGGCAGAGAATGAACAGGTAAATGGATGAACAGGGAGGATGAAAACCACGAAGGGAAGTGCTACCAGAGGCAAGAAAGGGCCTGACAGGGAGTGGCCAGGCTCTTGCTCGCAGCCTCGTCCCTGCAGCTAAGTTTCCCTGACTTCAGGCACTCCACCCTGTCCTACTGTGACTCAGTCTCCTGCTTTCCCTTTACAGACCAGATGTTCGCCATCCAGCCAGGGCTACCTGAGGGGGGGCAATTCCTGGGGGACCCGCCTCCTGGAGTATGTCAGCCCGAGCTCCAACCAGACAGCAACTCCAACTTCATGGCTAGTGCCAAGGATGCTAATGAGAATTGGCATGGGATGCCAGGCAGAGTGGAACCGATCCTGATGAGGAGCTCCTCTGAGTCACCCTCTGACAACCAGGCCTTCCAGGCCCCTGGGTCCCCTGAGGAAGGGGTGCGCAGCCCCCCAGAGGGGGCAGAGATTCCCGGGGCTGAGCCTGAGAAGATTGGTGGTGCTGGCACAGTCTGCTCCCCTCTGGAGGACAACGGCTATGCCAGCAGTTCCCTGAGCATCGACAGCCCTAGCAGCAGTCCTGAGCCTGCCTGTGGGACTCTGAGAGGCCCTGGCCCTCCTGATCCCCTTCTGCCCTCAGTGGCCCAGGCCGTGCAGCACTTGCAAGCTCAGGAGCGCTACAAAGAGCAGGAGAAGGAAAAGCACCACGTGCACTTGGTGATGTACCGTCGCCTGGCACTGCTGCAGTGGATCCGGGGCCTGCAGCATCAGTTGATTGATCAGCAGGCCCGACTGCAGGAGAGCTTCGACACCATCCTAGACAACCGGAAGGAGCTTATTCGCTGTCTCCAGCAGAGGGCAGCACCATCCAGGCCCCAGGACCAGGGCTAAGGGTGTGCCTCCACAAGTGTGCAAGGGTATGTGTGTATATTTGCAGGCATGTGCGAGGTTGTGCCCTAGTAAGTACATAATTATTTGCTGGCATGATTGCAGGTAGGCATGAGTGTGAACGTGCTAACATGTAGGCAAGTGTGTATAGGCATGTGTGAATAAGCATGTATAAATGAGCTTAAGTGCTGTGTGTACATGTGTACACACAAGCTAACTTATCTGCAGACCTACATGTAAGTGTGTAACAGTGAACATATGTGTGTGTAGTATGTAAGAAGAATGAAGAAATCTGTATATGTGTGTGTAGACAGGTACCCAGCAGTATGTGTATGTGCACATGAGTGAGGATGTATATGCAGAATATGTGTGTGTGTATGAGTGGGTTTGAGCGTGCAGGCTTGTGTTGGGTGTACGGGAGGGAGCCCTCGTGTGCAGGGGTGCATGGGTGGGGGCGCAGGCGTGCATGGGTGGGGGCGCAGGCATGGGAAGTATAAGGAGCATGTGTGTTTGCAGGCAGACTCATGAGCAAGTGTGTGCAAATATATATCCAGCGGTACCTGTGGAGTGTCCATCCACACTTTGTGTCCCTCGTGGTCTACCCCAGCCTTTCTTCTCCACTGGATCCACTAGACAGAGGGCTAGCATGCTGTCATTTATCTGAGGGTTGTGGCTGATCTGTTCTCCTGGGATTTACAGGCCACCTCTCCTCTCCTTTTCCCTCACTAAACCCAGACTTGCTGAGCTATGGCTATTTTCCCTGATGTTGGCTTTGCTGTAGGAGGTTTAGTGGCTACTCTGGCCTGCCATGGCATTTTGGCTGCAATTTTGTCAGGCAGTGGGCAGAGAACTGGTGTCAGGAAGGGGAACTGGGACTAGTGATGGAGATGATGGTGGTGTTGGGGACAGAGAAGGACATAGGGGACTGTCCCTCTTGAACGCTGCCTTTGGGCACATGGGAGATGGGGACAAGGGAGATGGTAATAGTGGAACCCTGTGAAGAACAGGAGAATGGGAATTCTAAAATACTAGTTCCCAAACCACCTCTCCATTGGGAAAGGAGCTGTGGCAAACCCTGTTGATTTAAGCTTCTGATGAAAAGCAATGTACGTGTATAAGTTTGCAAGTAACAGGCACGATGTTCCAAGGCTGATGAGGAAAATATCACTTCCCTGTCTGTGCCTCTACCTTGCTGTGCCTCTCTGGCTTTAGCAGCATTGGATGTCGAATTGGTTTGGTCCATTTCTCTGAAGTCGGACGCTCAAGATGAGCCAGAGGTTGGCTTTCTGGGACAGGAAGGGGACGGTGTCAACCTAAACCTCTGGAAATGCTTAGGACGCTGAGTTTTAACCCCTTCTTTCACTGCATGGCCCTTCAGACAGGGATTGGTGGGCTGCAGGAGTTACAGAGTGGGTGAGTCTTAGAATCAACGCGTCAGGTAGCTGAGCTCTCTGCTTTGTTCCTGGGAGCCAAGCGAATGCAGGATCCTGGTGGGTGAGCAGTGGTATGAAGAGGGGACACTGACGAGTGAACAGTGGCATGGAAGTCACTGATGCAGCCTCTGGCCCTCAGTCTCCCTGTCGGCAAAGTGGGAGAGCTCTTCCTGTCTATCTCTAAAGAGTTTTGTCCGTGATAGGTGGGTGGGCGAAAGGTCCAGGGAGCAGCGGTGAGGGGTGGGCCCTGAAGACTTTTTGTCTGTAGCTCTTGCATATCGAGTGTGTAAACCCAGCCTTTGGACCAACCCAGAATGAATAAACTGGGCAGAGAATTAAATTTCTTGAGTATGTGTTTTTCTTCGACCTGCTGTCTGGTGGTCTCTTCCACACCATCTGAGCTCCCCTTTTCAGTAGGGTCCTGGACGAGGAGCTGGGGGGTGGTTTTGGGGGAAGACACTGGAGAATGTAGACTGCTATGCCTGATGACCCGCTGGGGTGGGGAAGTCTCTCAGGGACCTCCCAGTGTGACAGGGGGGACGGCCTCAACCCTGAGGGCCCCATTAGGATTGTCCTTGTCCCGTGTCACCTTTGGGCCTAAGTGAATTGTGAGGGACACATACCATACACACTTTCACATACTCAACTGTACGCTGGGCCATGCGCAGTGTAGTCCCAGCACTTTTGGAGGCTCAGACAGGTGGATCACCTGAGGTTGGGAGTTCAAGACCAGCCTGGCCAACATGGTGAAACCCCATCTCTACTAAAAATACAAAAATTAGCCAGGTGTGGTGGCAGGCACCTGTAATCCCAGCCACTCAGTAGGCTGAGACAGGAGAATCACTTGAACCCAGGAGGTGGAGGTTACCGTGAGCAGAGATTGCGCCATTGCACTCCAGCCTGGGCAACAAGAGTGAAACTCCACCTCGAAAAAACAAAACAAAAAACTACGCTGGCATCATCACTTCCCTGAAGGGCACTCTGACTATGAAAGACTGAGTTTAGGTCCTTAGATGGTTTTGACACACATGTAGTTATAATATATAGCCATCTTTGGTATCTGAGGGGATTGGTTCCAGGACCCCCAGGGACATCAAAATTCACAAATCCGAAATACTGCATTTTTTCTTTTTTTTTTTTGAGACACAGCCTTGCTCTGTCACCCAGGCTGGAGTGTGGTGGCATGATCTCAACTCACTGCAGCCTTCGCCTCCCAGGTTCAAGAGATTCTCCTGCCTCAGCCTCCCGAGTAGCTGGGATTACAGGTGTGCGCCACCACGCCTGGCTATTTTTTGTATTTTTAGTAGAGATGGAGTTTTACCATATTGGCCAGGCTGGTCTTGAACGCCTGACCTTGTGATCCACCTGCTCGGCCTCCCAAAGTACTGGGATTATTACAGGCGTGAGCCACCGCACCCAGCCTGTATTTTCTTTTTATTTGATTTATTATTTTTGGAGACAGGGTCTCGCTCTGTTGCCCAAGCTAGAGCGTAGTGGTGCGATCATAGCTCACTGTAGCCTTGAACTCCTGGGCTCAAGTGATACTCCCACCTCTGCCTCTGAGTAGCTGAGACAGCAGGCATGCACTACACACCCAGCTAATTCTTAAGGTTTTTTGTAGTGATTGCTTCTTGCTATATTGCCCAGGCTGGTCTCAAACTCCTGGCTTCAAGCCGTCCTCCCACCTGAGCCTCCCAAAGTGCTGGGATTACAGGTGTGAGCCACTGCGCCTGGCCAACATATTTATTTTAAACCTCACAAAGTATACTTGTCACTGAAAGTTAATAATTCTTGTCATTTCCATACTTGACACTTAAATAGTATTGAACCAGTTTTAACAAATTCCACTTACTAAGAGATGTCCGGGCAAAGGGCTAAGGCTAAATTTGAATGGCGATTTCTGACAATGAGATGTCTGTCAAGCCTTCAGAGCATAAGAGGGTGAATTTTTATAAGGAGTAGAGCCCTTTTCTTTTTCTTTCTTTTCCTTTTTTTAAATTTTTTTTTTTTTTGGAGACAGAACCTCACTCTGTCACCCAGGCTAGAGTGCAGTGGTGTGATCTTGGCTCACTGCAACCTCTACCTCCCAGGTTCAATTGATTCTCCTGCCTCAGCCTCCCGAGTAGCTGGGACTACAGGCATCCATCACCATGCTTGGCTAATTTTTTTGTATTTTTAGTAGAGACAGGTTTTCGCCATGTTGCCCAGGCTGGTCTCAAACTCCTGAGCTCAGGCAATCTGCCCACCTCAGCCTCACAAAGTGCTGGGATTACAGACATGAGCCACCGAGCTGGCCAGGAGCCCCTTTTCTAAATGTGTAAGGGCTCTTCTGAGCACAACTCCTGATGAAGGACAGAGACTCTGAAGCCAGACACCCTGGATTTGGACCTTGTCCCCATTGTTTTATGTTTCCGTGACCTTGGGCAAATCAATGAACTTTCCTGTGCTTTAGTTTCCTCATCTTAAAATGGGAACAATAGTAATAACTACTTGCAGGGTTTCTGCAAGAATTAAATAAATGTGTAATATATAGAAGACTTAAAACTGTACCTGGCACATAGTAAATTACATTAATGAGAATTATGATTATAAATCATGCTTTTATGGTACATACAACTTTTTCATAGAAAAACATTTTTTCATAAGAAATTTTTTTTTTTTTTTTTGAGACGGAGTTTCGCTCTTGTTACCCAGGCTAGAGTGCAATGGCGCGATCTCGGCTCACCGCAACCTCCGCCTCCTGGGTTCAGGCAATTCTCCTGCCTCAGCCTCCTGAGTAGCTGGGATTACAGGCACGCGCCACCATGCCCAGCTAATTTTTGTATTTTTAGTAGAGACGGGGTTTCACCATGTTGACCAGGATGGTCTCGATCTCTTGACCTCGTGATCCACCCGTCTCGGCCTCCCAAAGTGCTGGGATTACAGGCTTGAGCCACCGCGCCCGGCCTTTCATAAGAAATTTTAATCTAAAACAATTTTTTTTTTTGAAACAGAATCTGGCTCTGTTGCCTAGGCTGGAGTGCAGTGGTATAATCTTGGCTCACTGCAACCTCCGCCTCCTGGGTTCAAGCAATTCTTGTGCCTCAGCCTCCTGAGTAGCTGGGATTACAGGTGTGCACCACTGTGCCGGGCTAATTTTTTTATATTTTTAGTAGAGATGAGGTTTCACCATGTTGGCCAGGCTAATCTCGAACACCTGGCCTCAAGTGATCTGCCTCAGCCTCCCAACATGCTGGGATTACAGGTGTGAGCCACCATGCCTGGCTGAATCTAAAATTTGAAAGTCATCTTTAAAGGGGGAGGGGGCTTTTAAAAAATAAGGCTGTGGCTCATGCCTGTAATCACAGCACTTTGGGAGGCCAAGGCAGGTGGATCACAAGATCAGGAGTTCAAGACCAGCCTGGCCAAGATGCTGAAACTCCATCTCTACTAAAAATACAAAAAATTACCAGGGCATGGTGGCACATGCCTGTAATCCCAGCTACTCAGGAGGCTGAGGCAGAGAATTGCCTAAACCAGGGAGGCGGAGGTTGCAGTGAGCCAAGATCGCGCCACCACACTCCAGCCTGGGTGATAGAGTGAGACTCTGTCTCAAAAAAAAGAAAAAGCCGGGCGCGGTGGCTCACGCCTGTAATCCCAGCACTTTGGGAGGCCAAGGTGGGTGAATCACGAGGTCAAGAGATCGAGACCATCCTGGTCAACATGATGAAACCCCATCTCTACTAAAAATACAAAAAATTAGCTGGGCATGGTGGTGCGTGCCTGTAATCCCAGCTACTCAGGAGGCTGAGGCAGGAGAATTGCCTGAACCCAGGAGGCGGAGGTTGCGGTGAGCCGAGATCGCGCCATTGCACTCCAGCCTGGGTAACAAGAGCGAAACTCCGTCCCAAAAAAAAAGACAAAAAAAGAAAGCTGCCTAAATTCCTTTCCATAAAAGATCTCTCTGAGCTGAGAAAAAGATGAAGGTGAGACCAAGGGAATGTGTGGTGAATTGTATGTTTACAGGACCCCTGCTAGTCACTGAGGGTCAGGGACAGGCCTAGCCCCTGCAGGGTGATGGGTTTGGGAAGGAGATTGGCAAGAATGGTGCCACAGCCAGGATGGCAGTTTGGGGCAGGGAAACGAAAGCAGGACTCCAGTGGCTGAATTGGTTCAGCCAAGAATTGTGGTTCTCCTTGGCCAGGCATGGTGGCTCATGCCTGTAATCCCAGCACTTTGGGAGGCCTAGGCAGGCGGATCATGAGGTCAGGAGATCAAGACCATCTTGGCTAACATGGTGAAAACCTGTCTCTACTAACAATACAAAAAAATTAGCTGGGCGTGGTGGTGCATGCCTGTAGTCCCAGCTACTCAGGAGGCTGAGGCAGGAAAATCGCTTGAACCCAGGAGGCTGAGGTTGCAGTGAGCTGAGATGGCACCATTGCACTGCAGCCTGGGCAACAGAGCAAGACTCTATCTCAAAAAAAAAAAAAAAAAAAAGTCATTCTTCATCAGGTCCACTGGCCATGAGGCCTGATCATGAGAAGTGCTGAGACAACTGCAATACCTCCTTTGGGCAGACCTGGGCTACACTCTCTGTTTTTTTTTGAGATGGAGTCTTGCTCTGTCACCCAGGCTGGAGTGCAACGGCATGATCTTGGCTTACCACAACTTCCACCTCCCAGGTTCAAGTGATTCTCCTGCCTCAGCCTCCTGAGTAGCTGGGACTGCAGGCAAGTGCCACCACACCAGGTTAATTTTTGTATTTTTAGTAGAGACAGGGTTTCACCATATTGGCCAGGCTAGTCTTGAACTCCTGACCTTGTGATCTGCCCACCTAGGTCTCCCAAAGTGCTGGGATTACAGGCGTGAGCCACCGCGCCCAGCCCTGGGCTACGCTCTTTAGACTTAGTTTCCTCACCTGTGGCAACTGTAAGGGCTGAATGAGAAAATGGACATGAAGATGCTCTGTATGCATTAAGATTGTGTGCCTCCCCTGCGTGAGGCCCCTAGGAGCCTGCCCCTATCTTTGAGCAGCTGTGGCGTGCACAGGTAGATGAGACTTGCATCCAAAAGCCTAATGCAGTCTGGGCACAGTGGCTCATGCCTGTAATCCCAACACTTTGGGAGGCCGAGGCAGGAGGATAGCTTGAGCCAAGAGTTTGAGACTCCATCCCTAAAAAAAAAAAGGGAAAAAAAATTAGCCGGTCATGGTGGCACATGCCTGTAGTCCTAGCCACTCGGGAGCCTGAGGCAGGAGGATCACTTCAGCCCAGGAATTTGAAGTTGCAGTGAGCTATGATACCACCACTGCAATGAAGCCTAAGTGAGAGAACAACAGCCATCTCAGTGCCCTGCCGA